GGCAGATAGATTCCCATGATTTTATGCATTTCCTCTTTAAAGCAAATACAATTAATTCCCTTGGAGTTTAGGTAAAATACCTAATGTATGATATTGATCACTTCTGAACTTCTCTTTCAATTTGATTCCATATGCCTTCACAATCTTGATTTTTTTTTTAGTGATGAACATGTCTATATAAACTAAATGTACAAATATTTAAAATCGAACCGAAAATTACACCATGGCAGGGATCAGGGGTATTTTCTCCAAAGCCGGACATTAATGCACCCTTTTGTATTGGAAAAAAGTACGATAACTATTATGGAAACAATTGTGCTGACACGTTGTTCCTGGTCGCCTACATAATTTTAAATATACTTCTTGCAAAGTTTGGAGATGAAAACGTTGGAAGGAAGAGTGCCTTCAATGTGACCGAGAACGTGTTGGTGTTACAAACAAACTATTGGGTACTCGTTCTCTTTTAAGGTGCAAATTGATTCGCAGCATTCTTATTTAAACATCCACGTATACCCGCAAATAGTAGCCTACTTTAAACTATTTCTGGAGTGTGAAAAGTATTTGGGTCTAGGAATTCACCATACCGTCTTTTACTTCGCACGTTATGAGAATACAGTTTACGACGTCTCGGTATAATAACTTCTTATCGCCATCATAGTAAGAGGAGGTTTGTCCTTAAAGCCCCCATAACTCTTTTTTTATGTAATAAAGTGTTACACCTAAATTTCCCCTGTGTGTTACCGTCTACCCGACGTAGTCTAAAACATAATCGCATGGGTATGCATTTCAATGAAGGCGTTTTAAACATAAGCAGTTTTTATATGCGCAGACTTTGATGACGTTTATTTTTATTAGGTTTCTTTATGGATCCTTGTTAAAACGGGCCTGTGCTCACTGAAATTAAAAAGAATAACTTTCCCTCTTTGTGTTTAATCTGCCTTCAGTACAAGCTAATAAAATGTTTATATTAATAAAAAGAGAATATCTATCTATCTATCTATCTATCTGTCTATCTGTCTATCTATCTATCTATCTATCTCACAAGCCGTTAATATGACGCAAATTGTAATTTTAGACACTATCTGTGCTAACAGCCCGCTGCAAATAAGGCGATGCAGGAGATAAAATGTCCACTAACATAACAAAAACGACGAGGAAGGAACAGTTATAGACTTAATTCTAAACAAAAAAGCAGTTGACACTTGTTGGACTTCTGGCAGTAAAATCGTCTTGTCTTATTTAAAGTACCAGAAAAAAAAAGCCCTTAGTTCATTCTAGTAGAAATGTGATGGGCAAATCAATTTAAACGCAACCTTTACGAATTGTCAAGGTAAATGACTGGTCCATTTGCCTTGCTTTAACATTACAATGGGCTTTGCAGCACATCCAAAGTAGATTCTGAACGGACACATCCTGGATTAACAGTCATATTGAGCACCTTTGCATATTCATCGTATATTCGGCATCCCGCCACCTTCAAGTTAACTCCTGGGTTTAGTATGATCGCGCACGCAGTTGCGTGACAAAAAGCGTTTGGAACCTGCTGGTGTCGGTCTATCCTCTTTTAGACAGTGCCACCCCGCTTAGCCAGCAAAGCTATGCGATTGAGTGTGGCTTCAGGGAGGACTAGGGAAAGGACCCTACATTAGTATTAGCCAGAGCGCTCATCCAACCCATAAACAGTTGAATACTTCTACTTAATGCTTATCCCAGTGTGTTTAAGTTAGGCCTATATATTAAGTAAATAGGTTAAGTAAAATGTATGTAAGCCTATTTGATAACCTTTTCTGTTAGACTACAGATTAAACAAAACTCTACCTCACATTTCTCATATCTGCTTGTCCAGCATTTTATTGACAACAGATCTTAAATTCACCGTTTTACTTCATCCAGCAAACAACCGCCACTTTCCAAACTCCTTCCACGTGACTGCAGCGCCGACGTGTTTTCTACTCGTTTTCAGACTTCGTTATAAACTGCCTGTCATTCCTCAGACAGGCATTGTTCGAGGACCAAACCTTCTCTTATATTAACCCTACTATAGTTTTAGTTGTTCGCGACAGCTTTAAAAATGAGGCAGGACGTAAAAAAAAGCCCATTTAGTCAAGCTCAGCTGGTGTTTCGGGGTGCCTCAGCAAAACAGCCAGCGCCATGTTGTGACGTCACTGCATTTGTCAGATAGACTCTAGCCGATGGGGAGGAGAAAAATGTTGTGTGAAATAGAAAAACCTGCGCTTGCGCAGAAATCAGAAAAGATTCAGTTTAAATGAATTTGTAAAACTGTTTATATTTGAAGATGGGGGTGGGTTTGATATGAGGGTGGAGTCTATGGGGGTTGGGCTAAAATACTGCATACCAAGCGAGGAAGGAGAAAAGAGCCCTGCAGGTCCCCCAAAAATAATGGTTGCCTATATAGCCTTTAAATCGTGAACTTGACGCAGTGAAAAAATATTTTGCGTGTTTACCACTTATACTTTTATTGATTCGTGTTTCTAAATAGCGGGTTATTTTTTTCTTATTATTTTTATAAATATAAGGCAGTTAAATATTTTGTATAGCCTACGTTTTCTATAATTTATTTTAAATTCTGCAGCAATGTCTGAATTAGTGCTGCACTGTTAGGCTATATATTTTAATAATTTTATTTAAAATATAATAAGTCTTAGTGTAATGCAGTGGAATAATAAAATGTGCATTCTGCCACTGGTGCAATCTCTCTTGTTTTTACCACGTTTACGTTTTTAATGAATGTCTGCGTACATGACTGAAATCGAGAGAATGGCTTAGCGTATCTCTGCAGAAAGTTCTCAAACTTAAAATTAGCAGGGTTCTTGCATGTGTAGGCCTACTCCCAAAGGTCCCAAGATAGGTCCTGGAATAATCATGTGCTAAAGACGGCTGTTAAGCTGCGTTAACGCTACACAATTCTGAACTTTTTCGTCCCTCAAAGAAACAGGATGCTAAGATGGCGGCATCTTACTGTCAAGTTCAAGTGTGTTGTTGCTTCGTAGCCTACCGTTGGAGTAGGGCGTATAAGTTCACGGTAAGAACCAGAGAAAAATAGCAAAAGAAATAAATGAAAAAGAAAAACGGAGGTCTTCATTTGTGCCATTTCAGAATTTGTTTTAATTCCAGTCAAAAACTTGTTCACATTTTGTCATAAATAGTTTGTTAAACAAACCAACAAACAATAACGCTACTTCGAAAGAAAGTACAAGATTTTCAGTAGGGATGTGTAGGGTAAATCAATTTAAACGCAAACTTGTAAATGATGGCTCCAATTGCCTTGCTTTAACATTACAATAGGCTTGCAGCACATCCAAAGTAGATTTTGAAAGGACACATCCTGGATTAACAGTCATATTGAGCACCTTTGCATATTCATCGCTTTTCCTACAGGTGAATAAGCATCGGTAGAGCGCACTGAAAAGGGGTAATTGACGTGCAAATTGTCCCTACCTTCCACCTCACTCTGGTATTGTTTGGTAAATAGCGAGCTAAAGACAAATACAGGCAAATTCACTTATTTTTTATATATATACCCAAAGGTCCCAAGATAGGTCCTGGAATAATCATGTGCTAAAGACGGCTGTTAAGCTGCGTTAACGCTACACAATTCTGAACTTTTTCGTCCCTCAAAGAAACAGGATGCTAAGATGGCGGCATCTTACTGTCAAGTTCAAGTGTGTTGTTGCTTCGTAGCCTACCGTTGGAGTAGGGCGTATAAGTTCACGGTAAGAACCAGAGAAAAATAGCAAAAGAAATAAATGAAAAAGAAAAACGGAGGTCTTCATTTGTGCCATTTCAGAATTTGTTTTAATTCCAGTCAAAAACTTGTTCACATTTTGTCATAAATAGTTTGTTAAACAAACCAACAAACAATAACGCTACTTCGAAAGAAAGTACAAGATTTTGCTGAATTTTGAATAGGTATGTTGAAGTAACATCGTTTGCCTCGAAAATGGCACAGTGACACAGTTCATCAGTTAAACATGTGCTTTTCAGGAATAACTTGATGCGTGACCCATTTCCACGAGAAAATGTCACAGAATCACATTCAAGCTCCATTTGTACATCAGATCTGTATGAGATCAGGGCTTAAGATACATCGAAGGTGGCTGAAATAAATCTTTTTTTTAACTTAACGTATAGAAAATAGTATATAAAACATATATTCATTCAATTATTTAAATAAACGTATTTATATATCACGTTACTTACGAGGTACTGTATTTTTTACGTTTGTTTTCAAAAGTAGTGCTGGTGGTTTGAAATCATGTTCATAAGCACAATATATTTATATGCATAATTTTAGTCTCTTAAAAAATATGTAACAATGCAACGCTGTAACTCTTGGTGTCACTGAACACGTATTTTCCCTCACTTTTCCACCTTAAAAAAGTTCTAGTACTCTTAATACTAAATTTCATTCACACATATACAGTTCCACATCTGGAAAAGTTATTCACATAAAACAAGCAAATGTGTAATCATAGTTTTCTATATGTTATACCACAGTATTCATAACAAACAACACTCTATATTCACAGAAGAACTACATTTAAAACAATGCAAACTGACAGACAGAAAGTTTTATTTTGAGATTACTGTTGTGACAGATCATTGCTCCTCTTTGACACATTAAACACAGACTTGCATCCACAAAGACAGTTCTGGAACCATCAAAAATGGAATACCATACTGATTGAAATGGCTGTACCTCAAGCCCCAAGAATATAATGTCTTTAACACTGTCAACACGAGTTCAAAATTGATCCATGAATGAAAGCTATGCTATTGCATGGTGTATCTGATCAGAAATAGACGTGTCGATGAAAACACTGGTCAGTGGGCCTCTCGAATTTGTAAGTGTTCCTTATGTAGTCTATACTCTGATGCTAAGAGAAAATTGGGAAAAGTCATTTTGATAATAACTAGAAAGTCTCGATATTACTTCCTTGCATGACTGATTTTAAGAAGAAGAAAAGAAAAAGGGTCCTCACATGAACTTGCGTTGGAAAATACTTGAAAATATAGATCATGTCATGTCATGTCATAATATTAATATAATTAATACTTTACGACCCAGATAAGACACATTTATTGGTTAAAAAAGATACAATCGTATCGTGGGAACTTTAGAACTGACTCCCTTTTCATCGTTAAAACTGGTTATTGACTCAAAACTGTACAGTCTTGTTAGAAAACATTTCCATAAATATCATTTAAGATTCGGCTCTTTCGCCGATAATTAAATTACAAATTGATAAATATGGCATCATGGATATGTATTTACATCATTATTAACAAAGGCAACGTTATATTCAAAGGTAACAATCGTAAGCTAATACCACATTCCTCCACCTGAAAACGGACTTGGACAACAGATTTGACTCCATCAAACAAGGAAATACATTCACGAGTAGGCTATATACTTATTTATGATTTATTATTTTTTGTTCAAGTTCAAGACAAAGACTTTGGCACGTTTCTTAAGACTGTCTGAAGTTTTAACAATCAATCAAAAGGTGATGTGAGTGTCACCTTAATATAAAACACCGTGAAATATTCTTTCTTTGCCATTATTTTTAAATATTGTTTTTTTTTCTTCAGAAAATACATAAAATTAAAAATAAAATAATCATCTGAAATCTGAAAACTAAATGAAAACCATTTATTCTTAGAAAGTGTTATTTTGTTATTGTATGTCTTGCTAGTTTTCTTCGAACTCGGAATAAAGTCAAATTTCGAATCCTGAGAATGGACGAGGCCTGTTGGCGAACTCTCATCTTTTCCTGTTGTTTCAATGCTATTTTGAACGCCATAGCGTAAATAGTTTATTAAAAGGTTACTTCAACCTTTTGGTCCACCATTTGAGAATCTGCTTGGAGCTTCAAACGTACCATTCGTTAAAATTAGGTGGTAGTCCATCGCTGTGTGCAGATGTATTTTGCACTGCAGACGTGGGTGTTTTTGTCGGGTCTTCAGTGTTCGCAGAAACCAGCACTGGCGGCGTGGAGGACTCGTATCCAGAGCTAGCAGCTGGAGACGACTCTGAGCCTTGTGATTCATGTACCTTCAATTACAATGTTCATAGATGTATGACATGCAGGAGGAGATAACACGCTTGTACACGGTTAAACTTTATGCTATGTCTAGGATTTCTGATCTCTGTTATACATTTGTGAACCAACACACAGAACAATATCAGGCCTGCTTACAATGAATGTAAACGCATTGTTCGTATAATGCATATTACGTTGCATATTATCTAAGAGGTTACAACATTTTTATTTGACCAGAAAACGTCCCTTACCTTCATGTGTTTCCTGAGAGAGCTGGGGTGTGTATAGGACTTGTCACACACTTTGCAGATATATGGCTTGTCAGATGTGTGCACGTGCATGTGCTTTTTCCTGTCGCTGCTGTTCGCAAAGCGCCTGTCGCAGCCTTCGAACTCGCATTTAAATGGCTTCTCACCTGCAAGTGAGAGCAAACACTGAAGGTTTAGTAATGTAACTTTTTTTTTAATAGAGCGGATGTTCAGTACAACTTTCAGTTATGTAATATGCCTTTCGAAATTACCAGGCCGTGTTGTGCTCACGCTAGATGGTTTGGTTACCCACATCTCATGCTCCTTGAGAGTCCTTGCTGCTGTTATCCTTTATTTTACTTCCCAAATAATCTTTATATTCGTTTTAGCAAACCAACACGCCATGCATTGTCGTGTTTACTGTGTGGCAGTTGGTGAACAATTTTTGCACACGTTTCTTGTCTGCCAAGTGTAACCATATAGACTGTTCAACAGCTTGCTTTGCATTTCATGTGGATCTCGAAAGGGGTCAATTATCTAGGCACAAATCCAGCCATCAGACTAAATGCAAATCGACCACTTCATACTTTCCCAGACCAATGTGTACTACTGTATTCATGCATCCACAATACACAAATCCCATGCTATTTCTAACTTTATAGCCACAAGCATCAGGAATAGCTTCACAAATGCAAGAGGACAGTCCATTCACAAATTCGCTCCACAACAACGCATGCAGCTTTGCATTTTATTTTTTTCTGTATTATTCATCTCCTCAAAGAGATGCAATGTATATACATTTTAACAAAAACATATTTTACTCAACCGGAAAAACAAGAGAATAAGAAACTAAATTCCTTAATAACGGTCATGTGATCAAAATAATTTAATCTTCCCAAACATTTGACAAATGTATTTAATTTCCCCAAACCTAAAGTGTTTAAATAAACCTTTTATTACATTTACTTTTAAATTAATTCAAAAGAAAAATGCACTTGTTTATTATTATTATTTTTTTTAAAGAACTGCAATTTACGTATAAATAACCCCGCTGGAATATTAATAAATGAATATTTATTTTTCCAAAACCAGTGGGTAAGCAAAAATAGGGGGAAATACGAATGCCTTACCTGTGTGAGTTCGTTTGTGAATTTTAAGATTTTCTGATCTTGCAAAGATTTTCCCACAACCGGGGAACGGACAAGGGAACGGTTTCTCTCCAGTGTGCACTCGGATGTGGTTCACGAGTTTGTATTTGGCCTTAAAGGATTTCCCCTCTCTCGGGCAATCCTCCCAGAAGCAAATATGATTACTCTGTTCTGGGCCGCCAACGTGTTCCATTGAAACATGTGTCACCATTTCATGCATTGTGCTGAAAGTTCTGTCACAAGTCTTTTTGGGTCTGTTCATCTGATTCTCATCTATCCACTTACAAGACATTTCTTGCTTAATAGGCTGCCGCATGTATCTGAAGAAGGCCCCCGGACCGTGGTGTGTGGGTACGTTCATCCCCATGTTCATATTGATGGGATGGTTGTAGTTATGGAGCTGAGCTGTGCCGTAAGGGTCCGTACGAGGGCTGGCCACAGATCGGTACGGATCTGGACGGCCAAAAATGTCCCCGCGTAAACCCAGGTGCATTTGACTGTTTACAACATGTCCTCCCGGTGAAGTGTGGCTCACGCTCTGGTCGTGAAGTCCAGGAAACAACAGATGTCCCGGGTTGTCCGAAATTCCGGGGGGCCCGTGTAGACTCCCAGCAGAAGCGGCAAAGATTCCATGCTGGGCACTCGGCGGTGCGGTCTCTCCGATGCCTGCGCCCCTGTTTCTGAAGAGAAAGTCCCTGGTCGAATTGAATGCTCCACCGGCGTAAGAACCAACTTGTCCTCCGTGGTGGTGTCCGAGCGCGGCTGCGTATCCAGTAGCTTGCGGGGTGAACGCTGATGACTGGCTGGAGGCGATATCGTGAGTAACGGGACTTATCTTGAAGGCAGCCGAGTGAGATGAATCTGCGAATGGACTGAGCCCCAGCCCGGGATCTCGGTTTCCCAACTCATGGTGTCTAGGCGTTCCGAACCCCCCTACTCCTAGTGGAGGGAACTGAGGAGCGCTATCAAGGAGCATAGTCATTGGGCTCAATCGAGAAAAAGCAAGTGAAAAAGAAAAAAAAAATATGAGAAACCCCAGTTTAGTGGAGTGAAGTGGGTAACGGTAAACTGAGCACAATTTCACGTAGGCTTCAATAAAGAAATGTTGAATTGAAAAACGAAAGGATAATTCCGAGTCTCGGTAAACGGGAGGAAAACTCCCGTAACTGGGATCCGTGAGAAAGAAGATCAAACTTCCCCCCCTTTCCAGGCGAATGATGTCCTTGGACTGATAAAGTCAATCACTCACTCCTTGCACATAAATGAGCTCGGGAGGCAGCTCTATGCTGACCAATGAGAGCACAGCGCTTTCTTTGTCACGTGACAGCTAGGAAGGGTGCTAATTGGCTGCGCGTTCGTTGATTGGCATGGTGTAGTATTGAAAATGGCAGTTCGTTTCAGTGAGTAGATTTGATTGGTTGTTGTTGGCATTATTTGCAGGTAAAGCAACGGGACTTTATTTCGGTTCAGTAAAAGGCTTGTTTATTTCCCGTGCTTAGCACGTCAGCTGTTCCCAAAGTTACATAAACTTTCAGGAGTTGCTTGACAATTAATTTCTCAAAATACACTTTTGCCGAGCCTCTTAAAAAAAAAGCGAAATAGAGAAGAAAATGTCAAAAGTGACTTAAAAATTTAGCAATTTCATAATTTTGATTGGAAATGAAGATAATTAATTTGTAAATAATTGTATCTATCTATCTATCTATCTATCTATCTATCTGTCTATCTATCTATCTATCTATCTATCGCATGTACATATAGCTATATGCGTCCATCAGGTTTTTCTTTTTTCTTGGATTAGTTTTTTTTTTCTGAAATCACCTTTTAAAATTCTAAATTTCCTGAAGCCGTAAAATGGTGAAACATATACATCGCGCTGTGGAGTGTAGCCTAGAACTCCAAAATAAGAGTGAAAGAAATATGGTGGTAATTATAATATCCCTAGGATTTTTTTTTTCCAAGGCGAAATAAATTCTTGTTATTGAGAAAGTTTCACAGGGTTACTGGTGACTCGCTGCAGGACACACAAAATCTGATCAAGTTCAGAGAAGCGTTGAGTGTTTCAAGCAGAGCTTTTTATACCTCCAAGCCATTTCACGTTCCCTCTCCCCCTCAATCTCTCCTCGAAAGGAGCTCCCTTTTATATTTTAGAGATTAAAAAACAAAAATCTTTAAATCAGCTCTTCATTCCGGTCTAGTCCTCAGCTATCACGCTTTCACTTTCAGCATTTTCTACGAGAAAAAAAAAGCATATAGGGACCTAGTCTAATAGTTTTAAGGTGAGTAGCCTAATCTATTTTTCATTAGCTGCTTTATAAAAGTGCCCTGTTGATCAGTTGCATGTTATATTCAGGCAATAATCTAAATCGTGTAAATTTTAAACATTTAATAACAAAGAAAATTTAAACCGTTTTGAAAAAGTAATTTACAATAAATACATAGCCTAAATACATTTTAATAGAATTTAGTAGTAAATGTTAATATAATGTGATAGATAGATAGATAGAGAGAGAGAGAGTGTGTGGTGTGTAAACACCTATTTAAAAAGTCACACAAGTTTTAAAGGTTACTGCTAGCAATATAGATATCCAGTTATTCTCCTAATCTTTCTGCAAGCTTTATCCCCCCTCCTTTCTGCTGTCTTTCTTTCTTTCTGCCCCTCTCTCTTACTCTCCCTTTCGTACAAGAGCACACATGTGAGTATGCTGTACCGCCGGACAGATTTACGGCTATTTTTTTAAGGTTTCACAGTCGGAAGTGAGATAGCTACGGTTTCTTACTTTCCACTCTAGATGTAGGCCTAGTTTGTCTGTTTAAATGTGGACGCGCTTAATATATTATGTGACATATTCATTTCCAGGCGTGGCTAGGAAATAAGTTCTTAAGGACGTTCTTTGCTTTCTCTGTGCAGGGAATTGTTCAGTTATTTGACAACTTATTTACTGCACTGCAACTCTAATGTCGGCCAAAGGGCAAATGAGGGCAAGAGACGTTTTTAACTCAAGGGGGCCTCGTACGTTATTTTACATTGGACCACGGTAAATTGAAAGGACTTAAAAGCCTATAATTGCATTGACCAGAGCTATATTTCGACCGATTATTTGAGGCAGTCAAATAATGTTTCGTCAGAATAATGCGATAGCTCCTGCCCCTTTACTAGACTATGTCTTCATATTTTTTAGTCAGAGCAGAATTACCTGGAAACTGATGAAAGTTGAAATCTTGAAGATGATGATTCGGGTTAATACACAATTATCAAGCTCAGTGTATAGCATCGTTCATCGATAGAGTCTTGATAATTATCGATGTATAGATGGTGTTGTTCTGTTTATTCATTCATTCCAGTTGTCAATCTCACATTAAATTTATTTATTTCATACTTAAATACATAAATTAAATCTTTCGCTGCTTAGCAACAACAGATGGAAATGACTCAGATTACCTACCACTTCGTCATCTTTTCATATTAGGGAGATTATATTATGGGTAGTATTTTAATCTTTAATTTTATTTTGAGATAGGCCTATTACATGTATCTTCTCTTTCTGAATATGTATGCAGACACATGGCTTTATATCTGTGTACTTGTCCCTTAAAGTATTTAGCCTGTTTTCTACTAGCTTTGTTGAGGAGTGGGTCTATTTATCTCAAACATTTAATCAGTATTGAGTAATGAGATAACTGTGGTACCTTCAATTAACATGTGTCTATATAAAATTTGTTAACTATGTTTAGCATAAATGACTGGAAATTAAATTTGTCGAGGCGTTACGCATCTGCTTATTAGTGAATGCAAACTGCTGTTGCCAGGATAGACTATTGTGCCCTTGAGTTCTAAGAATCAGAGAAAAAATTGTGTTAAAAGTGTAGAGTCCGTGTGTTTGGTGCTTTTTTTCCTACTTATATCTCACTCAGTTTTCTCTGTTTTCCACTTAGTTTGCCCATGTAAATGTACCGACATTTAGCCCTTAACTGGTAAAGCTGAACACCCGCTACGTTCATTGCAATGAGGAAAACTTTTTCTGTAGTTTTCAGACTAATATATTAGACCGAATATATTCAGCCAGCATTACCACGTTTTACTATTACTTTATTTTATTTCATTTTATTTATTTTTAAGTTCTCACAAGCAATGTATGGCTTTATTGATGTCTTGATATGGAAATGAAGATAAGGCTACATTTGTATTTGTAATTGTACAAAAATAAATATAATACAGGTATGCAAGGAAGAGAGGCACTTTACATTTTGGCAAAAATATTTAAAGTATATTTAGATTTGTAGAGCATACATTATTTAGTGTTTCATAATGCTCACCTTTCAGTTGTGAGTTATCTTCTTTAAACCACTGTGATAAGACTTTGACTATGGATGCATTGAATTGATACTAGTGTTTGCTGACTAAATTTAGTTTGTGCACTGTATAGGTCCCAAAGACAAGTCTGTGACCTTCGTGAACTATAGATGTGTGTCATTAGGTCTATTTAGTGACCATTACTTGAATTGATAGAACACAAAAATACAATATTCAGTGTTCTATACTGTACCTAATAACTTTTCTCTTATGATCATTTATTTATGCTCTCTCTCTCTCACTCTCTCTCTCCATATGTATTTAAATGGGATTGTACTAACTCATTTATTGGAAATCTTTAATATTGTAAGTATATTAACAGAATATGTGTAGAAATGCATTTGGACTTTTCCAGTAATGAAGAAATAACGAAGAAAGAAATTAATCAGGAAGAGTTGCTGTGTGGTGTGGGAGAAGAGACTCAGTTTTGTTATACAAATTAATATCTGCCACTGATTGTTCTCTATGCTCTGTTATGGTGTTGGATATCATGGTCAGGGAGATTGATCTAAAAACTGCATTGCGACTCATTACATATAAAAGTATATATTCTTGGCCTTTTCTAGTCTCTCTTGTCTTATATTTGATATGACCCTGTTAATGTAAAAAGAATGGTGTTTTTTACTGTTAATTATGACTTAATTGTGAATACAGTTCCTGTAACCTCAGTAAATATAGTCTTGTAATGTTTACTCTATCCAAGAACTTGTGGGAAGAATGGGGGGGACAGTCTTCAGAAGAAATACATTAATTACTTTCTTAAATTCAAAATGTGGTAAGGTAAGTGATCAGTATCCCTGGTATAAAAGTTGTGTAAGTTGTTCTTTAGATTCCAACAATTCACATAATTAAATTCTGTTCTTAATACGTCAACATTTTGTGTGGTTATATAAGCATCTTTGAGTTGGCCCTTTAAAAAAAATAATAATTTGATGGTCCACACTAAGATGCTGTCACACTTTTTACAGTAACAGTGAGTAGGCTACACCACAAACCTGTTTTCATTTTTGCCCGTTTAATATTGACAAGTGCAGAACATTAAAAATAAGCGAATACATTTCATTTTTAAATGGCAACAGGTCATCTTGGGGTTGTAAAGGTTAAAGCTGTCATTCTTGTAACCTCGAAAGTCAAAAGTCTATTAACCCTTGCATATTCGACGTACAATTAACGTTATATTTAGCTATTATGTGATATTGACGTAACCCTAGTTTTACTGTGGCTCATTTTTGTGCATTTATTATTATTTATTAATTAGATATATTATGTATGAATGCATTTAATTCACCTATTAATTTTTTGTTATAAATGAATAAAACAATTGTTCATTTTTTCTCAGATTTGCAACTCAAGAAAAATATTCGATAAAAATGCACGCCTAAGTACATCCAATAAAATTAAACTCGTCTTCACTAAACAAACGAATAGACCTACACATGCGGAACGATACTTTTTACAATATGGTATATTTTCTATGTGCATTATAATCAAGTAGTGCCCCCCGAATTTCCATGTTATGAAGTGTTTAATAGCAAATATTATGTCATTTTACATACATAATAACAAATAATATTTTCCTAAAATTTTGCATGAGAAACAAAGTGAAGTTTCTGTCACATTTACCTTTAGCTAAATAAGCGTGATATTTAACTTAAATAAAAATAAATAAAACAAATAAAATATTTATAAAAGAAATAATAAAAATATAATAATAATATTAATAATAAATCGTGTTTACGATGAACACCAGTATTATAGCTACTGGACCGAGTAACACCAAAGAATATTCAATTTAATTAAAGTTAAACCACAATATTAAATATTAAAACCGACATTGTGGCTTGAAAGATAATTTTGATTTCGTTGCTTAACTCCGGTTAATTCTATTCGATGTTGAAAACACACCGTTGCACAGCATTCGTAGCACAGACTTTCTAATAATTCATATAAATATGGCATTTAAACATTTCAACAATATCGCATTCGGCACTCTCAAGTCACAGAACAGCCAATATCTGGCAGTGCGCGAGCGGCACATATCAAAGCATTTTCACTGAGATATTTGAAAACGGAGTCTTGTGGTGAACGCCTGCGTGTCCCTTTTAAAACAAATCCAGGGACTGTCAATCATCGCGCATTCCGACCAATCCCAAAGCACCGTTTTTTTAAAAGCTGGTTTGCCTGCTGTGCTTTTATATTGCAGTATGGCCTGGTTCGGAGCATTTTACTACCACGGTTATTGCCACAAATCGAGAGGGCAAAGTGAACGGAATGGGACTCACACCAATCTTAACGAACCTGGGTCCTATTCCTGCGTCTGAGAGGTTTACAGGCAATAACTGCACATACAGATGATACAGCGGGGGAAATGGGGAATTGTTTTGTAGGTAAATCGTAAACGTTAGAGGTTGGTTGATTTGCCAAGCCCTCGGCCAAGCTTGCAACAAAACATGACAAGCCTGTCGCGGTTTAGTGGCTGCCCTCTTTCTTGCGTCAACCCTGGGGAGTGCAATACTGAACCCAGCGTGGTGCTGCCACCTTTGGCAGAGGAGCACACGGGGCACCCCACTGGCAGTTCCTTAAAACTCTGCCCCTCGCAAAATTTGCGAGACTACCACGAGACGAGGGCCAGTGCATATGTTGACCACTCGGTTACCCATTTTCCAGACACTGGATACACCAGTCATCGCTTAGAACCCAGTCCTAGGGGCATTATCATTGGGACAAATCTGTCAGCAGCAGGCATGCCACCAGTAACTGATCAACTGGCTCCGAGACCTAACCAACACGGCAATATTGGAAGGTACCGTGACCTCCACAGCTATAGGGATGGCAGGAGCCACGCGTTCTTCAACACGTATCAAGAGCAGGCCCATGGCTCGTCAGACGCAACCCGAGATCTCAGCAGCCAAATGATGTTGGGTCTTCCAGGGGATCTTCTCTCACGAACGCACCCGTACGGGCAGTCGGTCAGTGGCCCCAGGGCCGACAGCCAGCAGCTAGTCACCCAGTTCCTGGAGTTCTATAAGCCTCTGAATATGGCCATGCAGCGAGGAGGGGGTGACGCCTTCCTCAGGTGCTCCAGGCAGAACCCAAAGCACGAGCTGGTGTGCAAGTGGAGTGACGGCCAAGAAGGCACTGGCAAGCCGCCCTGCGCCAGGAGTTTTGGGACCATGTATGAACTCGTCACCCATGTGACGGTTGAGCATGTCGGAGGACCGGAGCACTCCGACTACGTTTGTCACTGGGAGAACTGTTTAAGAGACAGAAAGCCTTTCAAAGCCAAATACAAGCTCGTCAACCACGTCAGAGTGCACACTGGAGAAAAGCCCTTCCCCTGCCCTTTTCATGGATGTGAAAAAGTTTTTGCCAGATCCGAGAACCTCAAGATACACAAGAGAACGCATACAGGTTAGTTAATAATAATAATAATAATAATAATAATAATAATAATAATAAATAGAATGACAGGCTTCAAACGTATGGAATTGTTTCTAAACCTGTTTTGGAGTGTTTTGCTTAACATTGTTCCAACACAAAATTAATTCATGAATAATTGCCAGGACAGGAAAATCTCGACAAAACGTAGGCTACTGTTTGATTAGTTGTTCCCAAAGTAACACTAAAATATTCTACCGTAATTTTTTTATGTCATTTTTTTTGGGGCTGTTCACGAACACTGCTTTTGACAATGGGTTGTCAAAACACGTCATGATTAATTTATTTTCAAAATGTTTCGGCAAATAAATTAATGTAGAATTTTATACACAATAGAATTACATTTTCTACAGCCTGTGCCAGACTTTAATTTGGGCTGCGATTAAAGCATTTATTTATATCAAATGAAGCCTATTGTTTGTTCTAACGTTTTTTTTGCTCATATTAGAGGGGTGATTTTTTATTTCGTTTTCAGAAACCTTCGAGCTGATGAAAATCAATCCACAGGCCAGTTGTTTGGGTGCCTCTCATTCATGCAGTGAGAATAAATAAATAAATGCCGGGACACCGGAGAGCTGTGACGTAGCGTTTACGCAAGGCACAGCTGAATTCTCTGCTATGGTGGAGTGCACCCGCTCGAGCTAAGCTCTGCAAGCTTCGAGTCCACTACACTTGAAACTGACGTCACATTAATCATTAGAATATTATCTGTATAAATGGCCACTTCATGTGTTTAAAAAAAAAGAAGATTTAACCATAAGATATGATTTATAAATTAAAAATATGATAATCGATATGACTAATTATTAAAGCCACAGTTAACTTTATTTTTCTCGCTAGAAATGAATTAAACTAGGAATTCATCTTTGGCTCAGGACGCATATACAAATATGAATTGGTCGATTAACAGAATATCTGCGAATATTAGGAAATATAATTTTTCACTGAAAACAGTTTAAGCAGACATTGAAAATTAATCACTGACACAATTCCATAAAATTATTTATAAGTGAACTGTTTATTATGGGTTAATAAAACTTGTGAAATTAAACTACTATGTTCTTAATTTAATTGTTCTCTTTTTTTATAACTCTGAAATCAATTTGAGTTAGGCTAAGCTATATGCATTTGCGGTTCATTAATAAGCTAAATCTGATTTAGCTCGTGTGAACCATGATTTTGAAATTAGCAGCTATTGCATGAAAACAACTGACTGGAAAACATCACTATTTTTAAGAATGATGGGAAAGAGGGATTTCGATTTATCAAGTTTTGCATGCACAAGAGTGTTATCTTTTTATCTCTTGTTAAGTTTAACAAAGTTCTGCAAAGTGTGGAGCAGCACACTTTTTTTTTTTGTATAACATCCTGCATAACACATCTTAATGACACCATGCACTCAGAACTGATGAGCCATGGTTGACTGTACATCCCACCCGTAACTCGCGTTTCCCCCTCCTCTGCCCGTTTAGGTGAGAAACCGTTTAAATGCGAGTTTGAGGGCTGCAGTCGGAGATTTGCAAACAGCAGTGACCGGAAGAAGCATTCTCATGTTCACTCCAGCGATAAACCCTACACGTGCAAGGTCAGAGGCTGTGAAAAATCTTACACACATCCCAGCTCCTTGCGTAAACACATGAAGCTCCACTGCAAGGCCTACATCGCCAAAAGCGGCGAAGACGACGAGCACCTTGTAGAATCCAGGTCTCCTGAGGTGGCGGAACAGCAAGACACGCCCGCCTCTACCACGGGGACGCGAACGATGACGACCCCCTCCCTGTCTCCTGAGACACGAAATGAGTCGACTATGAGGTCACGTTTCCATCACACCTTTGAAAACAGTTTGGACTATATGGCGCACAGGCCACAGTCCCTTTTGGACCCTCTGTTGCTACAACGGGGCAGCTACAGACCAGAGTCTGTACAATACTCGTGCAGCCAACCAAGCCATACGTTCGCACCTAGCCATAGAACTTTTGCGTCCAACTCACCTTTTCAAAAAAGTCTGGTAAATGGCTGGTACACAAGTCATAACGCCGTGGATACTTTTTCACCCAAACATTGTAACAGTGATATATAATGTCTGTAATTCGGGCTTGTACTCTGCGTGTTAAAGCATTGAGGGATGACAGCTGAACGGTTCCTCTTCATGTAATATTATGTCCTACAGGTTTAAATAGGAGCGTGCAATTTGTTACTGTGAGCTTTATCTGTTGTACATTATGTTCTTGTATTGGTGAGACATCAGTGACTAAACTGTAAATTGCTTACTGTAAAAGTAAAGAAAAAAGTTGCCAAAATATAATTCATATATAACATATCTACAAAACAGATGGCCACAAATGGAGTAGAATATATAGGTCGAAAAAATTAAGTAGGCCTAAGTTATTTCTGCTCAGGAAAAAAAGAAATGGCGTAGCCTATTATTATGAGGTTCTGTAGAGGCAGGGCCTCCGTCAATGTGATGTATAATGGAAAGAAGAGGTGTATCTCGTGAAAAGTGATAATAAAAGTTAGTAACGTGAGTATTTTTTGTAAATTACAACTTGGATTTTACATGCGTTTTTTGTCACAGTTTACATGTAGGTCGAAGATTATTAGAATTAAAAATATCGTTTGTCTTGATGTGTGTGAAGGTGAACCCATCATTGTACGACGCCTTTAACACAAATTATTTGGAGATTTTCACATCACCACCAATGAGTGCATTTTATACCTTAATACGTTAGTGGCAATTATAGACACCAAACCCCCTTCATTGTGAAAATGTTTAATTAGGATTCTACTGTATATACTGTACAATTAATTATGCATCGGAAGTTTCATTAAAGTATCTCTATTCTCTTTGATCAGGCGTGTGATTTAAACTCTATGCTTCTCAAAGGAAACGTGCGTGAGTTCACTAACACTTGGATTTTATCTGTACGTGCCCGTTTCTTTAACGGATACCTATATGCGTGTTTAAGTTTTTTGGAATGAAATTGCAAAACGAGAAACTTTAGAAAAATACTTTTAGTGACTTTAAGACTTTTGTGTAGCCTAGTGTCTAAAACAATTGATTTAAAAAAAGTGAAAACTTTGATAAAGTAATTGTTTTCCGTGAAGGCGATGTTACGGCCGAAGTTGCCTCACCTCGAATGAACTCCAGCAGATTCCAAATGTATCGTTATTTTCTTTTCAGTTGAATCTTATATGCGAACTCTGTTATCATAATTTTGTTTGCTGTTAACTTTATTGTTATAAAACTGCAGTACAGTATGACAGGGCATAAATAAAAGTGCAAGCGAGGATATAGGCCTTGTACTTAGAATCGCACTGATCAGCGAAACGCCAACCTGCACTCACTTACGTTGCTTAATATACGAATGTGTAGGTTTTCATTTGGTTTGGTAGGACTTCTCACTTATTTTCAGCATGCTAGAGCATTGTGTGATCGTACAAGAACTGACAATGAACTCAAATCCTGTTCCGTCAAGTACAAGTCGGCTGTAATCTCACTTCTGTTATCAAGAACCAAATGGCAGCCTACAACTGAAAACTTTGGTGGTGATGAATGAAATGTTAGGTTAATGCAGAAGGTACCACACAATGAATACCAAATTGTAAGCCAATTGTTGAGGTCCACAGCTCTTTCAGTACACTGGTTGCACAATGAAATTGCTATTGCATATTTTCAGTTTTGTCTTCAGTCTCATTAGTTTGTTTCTGTCCCCATGTTTTGAATTGATTCCATATTTTGAAAAATCTGAACACTGACCTCAGTGATTGTAAAGACTGAAAAATTATATTTGGAGCCTTTGGTAGTGGCCCACTGTTGAATCAACTGTCTTGTTATACAATCAGAGAGTTTGCACTTAGGTATTTTATAGTCCAGTTTTGCCAAGATTTCTTTTGAAGTTGTGTGTGTGTGTGTGTGTGTGTGTGGTGTTGTGAAGTTGTAGGGCATTGTAGTGTAGTGTTTCTCAAGTTGTAATGCGAGTAACTTGCCTTTCTAACACACTGTGCTGTGAAGCAGCTAACAACAATGACCAGGATGCATAGCATTTTAAAAGATTTCTTTCTTTCCTGGTTGGCCATTACAATAATGCATTTCATTCATAGTTTAAGAGTCCAGTTCCCACTGTCAAGGATGGTGCCTTAGGCACCAATCATCACAACCTACTCATAAAGAGAAACTGGCAAAAAATCGGTGACCAAAGAATACAGCGGGCCTCTGTATTTATTAATTTTTTTGACTATTTGAGGCTTGAGAAAGAGACCGTAGGTTTAACTGAAAAGGGGGCTACCAAGGCTTTTTGACTCTGTGGGCCTTCTAACATCTTTCAATTCATTCATTTAGCTATATCGTGAATAACCTCAGAAAGGTCATATGGCAAAAGTAAAAAAAAACAACTCCCACCATCAATGCTGGACTGATGCGGTGTGTTCAAAGGAAGTTGTTGTAAATGTGAAGTTTACAAGAAATTCTTAATTTCTATTTTAAACACTGTTGGATCATTGAGCAGCAGGATATTGAAAAAAAAAGAGCACAGGAAGTTTATTTGTGACAGTCTGATGCTACGCAAGCACGTTCGTATCTTGTTTTGAGGAAATATTTAGAAATTTGCCATAGAATTTGTCATGTTTCTGTTCTTTGGTGGACTCTGAGTTGAACAGTTTCTTTTATAGATAACTATAATCATTAGAGAGGATGTTTAACACAGAGAGACTTGCATTAGTGTGGTGTGTATGTCAAATGCTAAAAACGTAAAAACACATTTGTCATAATTCATCCAAACTGATCTTGTGTTAATTGTTAAGGTATCTCTACTGTGAATTTTTCTTCTATAAAAATATGATACCACTCACAACACAAATATATTAAATCTTGTTGTGAGTAAATTGCAATAGAAAAAAAATATTTTCCATGCCCGTCTTGTTTGGAATCTTACTTTCCAGCACAAATAATGTGTAGTGTGTATGATTTCAAAATATATACAAAAATATTGTCATTAACAAAACGATGACAAAATTAGACAAGAAATGTAACTGAAAACAATAGAAAAAACATTAAAATATATGTTTCAGTTGTTTTCTAGTGTTGTTACATATTGTTACATATATAAAACAATAGAACTACTTAACATATTGATCACATTAAAACAGTTTATTATTGTTTCTGTCAGAATGATTTTATTTAGGTCTAGCATTGCAGGTAATAGAAAATTGCATTTTGGACTCTCTAATTTGGCTGTTTTGATATCTTTGTTCCTTAAACTATCCTGTGATTGAAATCAAATGACAAAATTGTACGTGAAAAAGACTTATTGTATACTATCGTACAATTGCTTGGTAACCTTTTAGTATTAGTAGATACTGACCTTTAGAAATCCTGCGATTGTACAGTGCTTAAGGTACTGTTTTTGTGGAGTTTTAATGTGAATTTTCTAGGGCTGCACGATTAATCGCATGCGATATTTAACGCGCATAGATACTGAATCCTGCGATTGTACAGTGCTTAAGGTACTGTTTTTGTGGAGTTTTAATGTGAATTTTCTGAATTTTCTA